ATATTTATATATATTTAATATATATACATTGTTTTTGTATATATATATATATATATTTAGTTTTATGTATATATATATACATACATTTACATTTATGTGTATATATATATATATGTATGTATATATTTTTATATGCATATATATATATATATATATTTATGTATGTATATATATATATATATATATATATATCTACATATATATATATATTATATATACACACACATATATTATATATATATATATGTATGTATGTGTGTGTGTGTGTGTATATGTATATATATATATATATATATATATTTATATAAATATTCGTTCGTCTTTTTGTAAATGCTCCACAAACCTTCTGTGACTTCTTTTCTTATTTACATCTACCTTATTTTATATCTGTCGCACAATGTGTTGGGACCCCTTCTCGTTCGGCAGCCTGATTGGACCGCTCGTGCCCGCATTCTCCTAGACGGTGGTGAGAGAGAGTCATTTGTGCGAAGTGATGGCTCCTTCTCTGTGCACGGAGTCGCTGCTGGCAGCCACGTGTTGGATGTGTATTCTCCCGAATACACGTACAGTGGGGTTAAACTAGAGGTAGGTATCAAATAACCATTGTGGTTAAAGTAATGGCAGATATACAAACATCATTTAGGTTAAACTAGAGGTAGGTATCAAATAACCATTGGGATTAAAGTAGTGGCAGATATACAAACATCATTGAGGTTAAAGTAGATGTAGGTATACTGTTAAACTAGTGGTAGGTATACAAACACCATTGAGGTTAAACTAGTGGTAGGTATACAAACATCATTAAGGTTAAACTAGTGGTAGGTATCAAATCGCTCGCTTACTTTTACATTGTAAGGCCATTTACACGTGTATATAACTTCTGCGAAGTTATTTGGACTTGCTATTCATGCTGTGTGTATCACAGTGTTCGCTTTTGCTTATCCATTTCATATGTATTTGAACACATGGCTGGACACATTTACGTTAACGGAATGACTGGGCACTGTCAATACAGCAACAGCTTGTAATACAGATGCGGCTACGATGTGGGATTGGGTTGGTAGGCCGTATAGTGTTGTATATAGTATGGTATTTTATCGTATATGTATATATCTTCACACATAGGGATAAATCCTGACATACCCTGTGTCTATGTGCGGACAAACTGATTAGAAAAATGGTCTCAACATCATGTTTAAAACTTCTCATATGCAAACCACATTGTTCTCGCAACCGACGACTGTCTTCACAGACTGCTGTATAAGGCATACTACAAGAGGCACTCAATGTTCGTGCTATTATGCTTGGCCCTATACATGTTTCTGAGTCCAACATAATATTGCCTACATATGCACGTACATATAATTAATACCTACACATGCATGTACATATAAATTATACTTCCACGTGCATGTACATACATATACGTATACATATCTCTGACACCACCAATACTTGCACATGCATGTGGGCATATACATACAAGATCGCTCATACTACTCTACAACCATTCGCACATCCCATAAACAGGTGTCGGACTCTGATGGCATCACCGCTATGGCAAACAACCACATGAACAACATGGCGGCCACAATGCCCTACCCACTCAAACTCCACCCAACCGGCAAGCAAGTGTACTTCCAGCCTCGCAAGGTATTCGTTTTACTCTTTCTATTTTTAGCCCTATTCTATATTTAGAACACAGTAGTTCTCCGCTGTTGCACGCAGTGAGAAGGAGCGAGGAGGGATGGTCAAGTGACCGTGCGCTGTTGGAGTACATATTGAATACGCAGCTCAGACGCAATGCCTTACTCTTAGGCTTCTAGGGTTTAGAGTGTATGGTTTGTGGTTTGGTGCATAGAGCATACGACTGAGTAGTGGTGTGTGAATTAGCGCTGCAATAGGAAGACCAACTGTGGAGATATCATGAGTTGTTGTGAGGCCCGTCTCATTGCGAAATCAAAATAAGCCGAAACCCGCTCAATCTATGTCCGTACGCTTATTTGTAGAATCAGACATGAGCGAGTACAATCGTGCATTAAGACTCACATAACACATTCACACGCAATAGGGATGGTCGCCATTCGACCTGCTCAAGAACCCAATGCTTCTGATGATGCTGGCCATGGGTGTCATGGGCTACTTCCTACCTAAGATGATGGAGAACATGGACGAGGAAACTCAGGCCGAGATGAAGAACATCACTCCACAGTCAGCTATGGCTGAGCTATGGAACGGAGGGGCTTCTGAGAGTGTGCCGAAGGCGACAGAGTCCACGCACAAGAAGGGCAAGAAGGGCAAGAAGAGTCACAATTAAGAGCAGTTGGGGATTAAAGAATTTAAGTTAGCAACGAGTACGCGGAGATAGAGGCATAGTCGTCGGTTTATACTTTTGTTCTGTTCGCTGTTCGCAGAGTGCAGTGAGATTTATCATCTATTTGAATATGCGGGATGAACGAACAGATTTGGCGTATGTACTATGTACGAATCAAACATAGATTTGTCCACATGCACATGTACAAAGTTTCATAATTAGGATTTGAACTCGGAAGTCATATAACGAGACAATTTAGCATTGTTATGTGTCTTAGTTCATGTATGTATTTTGCGTAGTTTCGACTGGAATTCAATCATATAACGTGACAATTTCGAAACGTTATGTATGTTAGTTCATGTATTAGCTATGATTAGAACTGAATCATGTATGAGCTCATGTATATATTATGATCGAAACGTTGTCCGTAGGAGTACAGCCTACAACGTGGGTTCTGACAGACCAATGGCTTTTGCTATCAGTTCAGAATCATGGGGACTGCGACGACTGGAGTCGATTCTATCGATCAGCCTTGTACTATACACCATATAGATATATAGAAATGTACACTCTAC